CGATTGTGCAGCAGATACAAGAATAGCAAGCCTTCCTGAAGGATAGCTTTTAAATATGATCAAGGTGAACAATCAGACATTAAGAATTTATGATAGCGTGTCCTTTAGATTCACTTTAAAAGGATACCAAACCTGCCCGGTTCCATCTGGTAAAATCACCATGAATGTTTGACCATTGTTGTAGTGTTTGACAAGTGGTGTCGTCCTCTGTTGAACCAAACAGATTTAATAATTAGGCGTCTGCATGCTCAGCTGCCGTCGTGATAGGGTCTCACCTCACTTGTTAAAAAAACAATTGTGATTTTGACATATGACAATACCTTCTGTCCAGCATGTTTTCCATTTAAAGAGAACATGTGTTCAGAATCAGTCGTTTCTGTTTCAAACAATGGAACTTTCTTGGCAGCATCATCCAAGAGTCCATAGTGTTGGGTTGCAGATACTTGCTGTTTGTGTCCTGTAATGTAGTTAAAGGTGTGGATGACATGGATGAACACAAGTAAAAGATAAGTAAATTGAATCTGTCTGTGGTAGATGGTGTGTGTGTAACCTGCTTTAGGGGTCTGATCATCTGAGCTCCTTTTAAATTCCAAAGCTTTCAACCTGCAGTGTGTCATGGAAAATGTAGCATCAGACATTCAATGGCATGGAAATTTAATTTGAAAACCATTTAATGGTGGAGGCCAATAATGGACGAGAGCAATCCTGACCTTTGATCTTGCTGCATCGCTGGGTCCCTATCAGTCATGGGTTTCTCAGTGATAACTGGTACACCCTTCAGCAAAACCCATGCCTTCTCACAGCAGAAAAACTGACACAAAGAGAGAAAGAAAACTCGTAAAAATGTAGAAATGCAACAAAATTCTGACTTTTGATTCAAAGCTAATTTGCCATTATTATTTATGCATATTTTCATCATTATTCAGCCCCTACGGAAGCTAATTATAGCCTTTACGTACAATCTAACCATTACTGAATCCTTTTTATTTTAACAATCAAATACCACACCATTTATAGCATTGAAATATTTTTATATATTTTATATATATTATATATTTATATCAAGTAGTTTTAAGTAGTTCACAAATTCAGACAGAAACAAGTGTCAAAAATCTGGGCTGCCAAGGATACTTTTTGTTCTTGTATTTTATGGAGGTCAGATGCGCGGATCACTGAATGAAAGAACCTCTGATCCAACCACTCATTCTGAATTTGTAAACTCTAAAAAAAAACCAACAGTAACAGCCTACAGCCCTGCTAGCTGCTCTGTGCTTTCAGCTGAATTCAACATCAGCCTGCTAGAACGCTCACAATGACAGTGCTTTTGCTATACAAGATGTACACATTGACAGGGAGTGTAACTCCTCAAATGGCAAAAATCACACTTTTCTTTTAGTTCAGTCAGTTTTTATTTAACACGAGCATGTCACCATGTTAACAATGGTACATGCACACTCACTCTCTCACCTCTTTCAGGTCAACACCGTTGGCTATCTGATCACTGGTCACTAGGAGTTTCTTCAGCTGCTGGCAGTGCTCACAGCGAGTCCACACAGTATGCAGCGACTCCTCTGATGAGTCTGATCCACTTGAGGTTGGGATCTGAAACGTTATTGGAGTAGACTGTTTTTTCTCAAAAAGACACTCACATTGTCACGAATACATACTATGCAAACATTCCAGTTAATGAGGTATTCAAAAAGCATGTTACAGTCTGGCATGTTTTAAAATAAGCCGCAGCAGAGACAGGCTAGTTTTGATACGAGACAGACACAGACTAATTGCGTGTTCCATAAATACATTTATACTAGAAGAAGGAAAGGAGCAGTTTAAAGTGGCATTTCCTCCATACCATGTCCAGATTAGTTAAGGACTCTTCAGTTTCTCCTTGGCAGGCTGAGGGAGTTTCCTTGCTGAGTGAATCCAACACTTCAATATCTGGGGATATCTCCAACTCAGACTTTGTGTTTTTAGGAACGCTCTGAGGAGAAAAAAACAAAGACACTTCATAATTTATTAAATTCTTTGAGGTCTTTAACTTGTGCTTCATGAATAAATCAAAACCATGTCTCTGGATACCATGTCACATCATCTTTCACAAGATAAAACTTACACTGTGACAAGGATAGACAACGCTGTGAAAACTCAAATTCAGTGTTTCTTTGCCTAAAATTATTTCTAAAACACACAAAAAGACCTCATATATGCTAATTGAATCTATTCACCATTTGTCTAAGGTCTCTCTACAAAGTGCATTTCAAATGTAATGACAAGTACAGAGAAACCTCTCCTACTCTTGAGTGTCCTAGCAAAGCTTTTACTTGTCAAGGGCATCCTCGCTGCAGTTGAGGGAGGAGGGTTTTTACAAAGAAAACCTCATTGTGAGTTTGTGTCTGTAAACCATCCTCTGAGCATTTACCCCACCTTAACACACTCACCTGCTCCTCAATAGGCAACCCCAAATTCTCTTCAGGAGCTTTAGATGTTTCTTGGTTTGGGAACTCTGCAAATGCAAATAATTGTCATCTCGGATATTTACCGTCCGAGGTCAAAGATTCATAATTAGCATTAAATGTGAAGAAACTGTACCTTGACTGCACTCGTCCTCGTGTCTCCAGTCAGTCTGCGAACCAATGCTGATTCTGGTGACAACTCTCCCGTCGAATGCATGAATCCTCAGACATTCGCGTGAGCTCACACTGGAACCAGTTCTTCATTGTCAGCTTAATTAAGCCCAAAATGATGCAAAAACTCAAGCACCTATAAAGCACAATACTATACAATACACCTGCCCAGCAACAAGTACTACCTACTGCATGGGAACCATAACCAGAGGTGCTGGTTGATCTGCATGTTTGTTGAATTTCTGACTGTTCAAACTAAATAAAAATCTCTATCAAAAGAAAGCTTGCAATAGATAAAACTTTTCCTTTTTTCCTCCTTTAAAAATGAGACAAGATTGCATGCAGGCAAGATTTTATGTTCTCTGCTGCTTTCTACTGCTTAGTATAATGTTGTGACTAAAGTCTCTGTCAATTTGTCACATTTTTTTCCTAACCTCTGTTTGTTTACAAGTCCGAGATTTGTTGTTGAATCCATCTCAGTTGATTTGACTGGTGAGTCAAGTGCTTGCATCTTCGTGATATCCTCTATTTTTTATGGAGCAGATGTGAGCAGAGAAACCACAAATGAATGATAAAAAAAAACAAAACAAAAAACAACAAAAAAACAAACATTTTGAATCAGATACAGAATGGTCAAATGAAAACAGCATGTTTTGCTCCTAATGTACCATAGCAACCACCGAACAATAAGCAACTGTTTCTATGGGAGACATGTTAACAGAAATTGGAGAAAGAGAGAGAAAACTGTACTGAGGTTCTTTCAAATCCACCTCTTCTTTTATTTGATCTCTTTTCTTCTGTAGTTCTCGCCATCTCTATTATTGTTGAAGTCATAACACTACATCTAGTCTACATCTAACTACATCTCATCTTATATATATTGCCTAAAGTATGTTTTTCAAAGTTTTCATTGATTTGTTTTACTTCTGTCATACACTAGGTAGCAATGTGCCTATAATTCTTTTCTTTGACAAGTCTAATTATACTGACATTGAAAACCTTTTTTTATTCTACTGTACTTAATTATGTGCATGCCAATAAAGCAAATGTAAATTCGATTTTAGGGGAAAAGCAGGAGAATAGGGAGAAAAGAGAATATTCATCTCTGCAGCGCGTTTTCACCATCTGCAATTTCTGTAAAAAAAAAAAAGTTGTAAATCAGCCATATACCCACATTCAGTGCCTGTATGAGCTTAATAATAAGGTCTGGGAATAACACTAATTAACAGTCTTGCAGTTGGCCATATATAGTAACTAGATAATGCAAATAAATCATACTAGACTGGTTATAGTAGATTAAAATTATGTTACCATCAGCTACAAGTAGATTTAAAATGGAAGCGAGATCACACTTATCTTTAAAAACCTTGATGTGCTTCTTTTGATAACTTTTGACACAGCATGCTTATGGTAATTGGAAAGCCTTGGTGATTTATTTCAATAAGGGACGCTACTAACATGGTTATTTATCACAAAAATCCCGGGGTTTCATTTTTGATACTTTGTGTAGCACAAAAATGTTTGTACAAGCACTGCAGCTTTTGTCATGTGGTATACTTCACAGCCTCTCAGCCTTTACTTCTTCTGGACTGTACTGAAAAATGTCATAAAAGCAACAAACCTGAAACGAAGCTGCAATAGATGGCGAATAATGCTTCAGACTTTATTGTATATGCACACTGGCAAGCTTCTCTGAACATTGCAATTTACAGGAAATGTAGCATTTGTAAAACAAACAAACAAACAATAAAACATTAAGTTGTGTTTACTTTCTAAATAAATTCAAAATAAAATATTGAATTGAAACATCCAATAAAAAAACTAACTTGATCTCATGCTAAGGGGCCCAAAGGGATTCTTATTTATGTTACAGCACAGTAATTTAACATGCATGGTGGCAGATGAACAGTTATTATACCATATTTCATACAAATGGGAATCGCTAGTTAGATGGTAAGGTAGGGAAAGTGGGCATGTGGTCATTTTGGGAATTGAGGGGTGGGATTAGACAATATATATATATATATATATATATATATATATACATTTTTATATGTTAAAATATGTGTTCTTATGGTCTAGTGTCTGTTTCCTGTTGCTGCTGTTAGTGCTGTGCTCTTAGTTTAACATTTTTACATGTATGCACAGCTTGGAAAAACCATTGGCACAAACTAGCTGCAACAACAAGTCAGGTGTTGGAAATACTTTGGACTCCTGAAATGTTGAAAGTCTTGATCGTGCTGTTAAGAGAGGTGTTTAATATCTGGATTTCAGTTAAAGTTTTTCACTTTCTCACTCTCTTTCATAAACAATCCATTAAGTACTGAATCTGTCACAGCAGATCTTATAGAAGGCATATAAAGATATCTGGAGGAATTGATTTGTTGTTGGTGATCTTTTTAAATACTAACACAGACAACCTTGGCTTTCCATTTTTTATTTTCTCCCTTTTCAAGATAGTAACTACCTGATCTTAATGTTTACTGAATGTCTGCACTGCCAAACCAACTGACCCAATCTTCCATAAATCTTCTTCTATAAACCTTAAGCCCTTTACAGTCTAAATATAACCGTGAATGACTATAAGCACCAGATATTACAGAGGTTTAGACCAATGCAAGGGTGTAAACTGTAACACAGCAATACATTTTATCAGCTTTTGCCAATTATGTATTTCTCTCTTCATCTTTTTTGGGTGACTTCTCCTTTTCCATTTGTCTGCTAAGCCGCTGTGTCTGGATAATGAAACTGTAACGGTGGGACATGCAGGTCTGCATCTGGCCAAGCAGAGAGTAAATCTCTGAGCTCTTCATTTGGATATATCTCTCCAGAACGTCTTGCCCCAGCTTGTCATGGTTCTTTTGATAAGTGAGCTGCATTAAAAGAAAAATAATATGTTGTCCCTTTTCATTTTTTTGTGTGCAAATCATTAATGACTGCTATAATTTGCAGCATACAGTTTTATATGGCGGCTCCTATATTTAAGAGAAACATTTGCATTTATCATTACTCACCTTAAGCTTTGACCCCACGCTGAAGCGCACGCTGTTTTGCCGATGTGCAAAGGTGATGTACATGTGTTCTTGTGAGTGTATGCGCACACTGATGTATGGGCCCAGGGAAAAGGTTAGAGGCTTGAAGGGAAGGTTGCGTCCATGTGGGTCAAAATAAAACCATTTCCAGCGCCTCCTCAAAGCTCCTGTCTCGCTGAGACAGAGACCTCCGACAGGGGTCAGATTCAACCTTCGGACACACCACAGAGATTAGCTATAGACACATCCTGACCTATAACATGAGAGCAGCAGGTTAATCAAAAAACTATCTGTGGTCAAAAAGTAATTCAAAGGTCCTGTGTGTAACTTTTAGTGAACTACCACTATACCCAATAAATCCTACACACTGGTCCTTAAACCTAATAGGTCTTATATATACATACATTACATAATAACATTTATTTTCAATTCCTAACTGACTAATTGAATTAAATGAATAGTTTGACATTTTCAAAAATACACTTATTCGCTTTCTAGTGGAGAGTTAAATGAGAACATTGAAACCACTCTGAGATATACTATACACATTGGTTTGCTTAGCTTAACATAAAGACTGGAACCAGCTTTACAGCTAGTCTGCAGTGTCTGAGGGTAACAAAATACACTTATGAGCACCTCTAAAATCTCATTATTTAACATGTTGTATCTTGTTTGATTAATCCATACAAAAACTGAAACCTAAAAATTGCGTTTTTTGGACTATTTTGCCTCTGGGAACAGTAACTTTCTGAAATATCCGCTGGTTACCTGGCAACTGCTCCCAGTCAAGACATAGTCTGGTACATAAACCCCCATAAAACAGCAAATTGCAGTTTTTACACAATACAAATCACACAAACAACATGTAAAAATGTTGCTACCGCCAGACACAGATACAGCTTGGCTGGCTTTTTTTCTCTTGTTTCCAGTCTTTGCTAAGCTAAGCTAACCAGTTGTTGGCTGTAGCCTAATATGTACTGATATGAAAAGTTATAAGAATAGTATAAACCGACTCATCCGCTCCATTAGAAAGCTAATAAGCATAAATGTGGATTACTATTACTTCAAGGGCTCATTTTAGTAAGAACTTTAAATTATTATGATAAAGGTTATTGAGTAACAATTACCATATCATTCCATTGGGATGGTAGCATGTAGAGTGGCCTTTATTTGTGAAAATGCCTTTGATGCTGGGGGCTGTGTCCTTGTCCTCCAAGATGATGTAAGTGAAGTCAGCAGCTTCTGCAGAGGATATTATAATGGCTGCTTTCCCAGAAGGATAACTTTGTCTATTAAGGATCATTAAGACTGTGCAAACCTTTTATCAAAGGGAACAAATGTGTACCCTCTCATTACTCTGACCTTGTCCTTGATCTTCCACTTTGTGCACAGCTTAAAAGGATACAAAACATTGCCTGTTCCATCTTGACATAAGGTGAGAAAACATTCCCCACTTTTGTAGAACTTCTTCATTACGTCATTTAGCTGTAATAACAATAACCAAGTTATTTATTACTTTTCTGTTAAATAGACCATTGATAAAACACTTGTGGTTTAGGAAAGAACACAGCAACATACCTTAGGCCCACCATCTGTCTCTTCTTGTAGTGTAGACATGCCAGCAGCATTAGGGTTGTGAGGCTCATCATTGATGTATTGAATCTCTTTTGACAGGCTGTAAATTTTATGCTTGATCTCACTACAACCTGAGCAGACAAAGGAAAACATCCATTGATTGATATTTTGTCATTGAGAAACATGAGAAACTGAATACTTCATGTATTCCTCATTTGTACTAGTTTGTCAAGACTAGGGCCCAAGGTTGCCTACTTACTTGTGTATTTATTTGTCTTGTCTTTTTTAAGTTTTCTCTGGAGTTTCCAATGTCTCAACCTAAATAGAAAATTAACAAAGTTATTTTCTGCAGAAGTGGGAAACTGTACAATACAATGCCAAACCTTGAAGGGTATGTTGAGAATCAAATTCAGAATTTTTTGTCACAGTCAGCACTAAGAGAAAGTGACTCTTATATTGCATGCAATATAGTATATCAATATCAATATATATATATATATATATATATATATATATATATATATGCAATACAGTACA